AAGAAGATGAATTTTCCTGCAATGATATGAGTAGAGCTGACATTTTCATTGAATTTCACAGAGCTTTGCTCCCCCAAAAACTGTTCTTATCCAGAATGGACTGCAGTTTCAACCTCCCATTGGTCTTAGCAACACCTCCAGTGGGATTCGAGCCATGCCAGTGCAATGTGTAATCTCGAAACGTCAACCAATACGCCACATTGCCACGAGTGCCCTTGGGTCACAGGGCAACTGTAATTATTGACGTATCGAGATTAAGCGCTGCATTGTCATGGTTCAAATCCCGTTGGAGGTGAGGCTAAGACCAATGCGAGGTTGAAACTGCAGTCCACTCTGGATGAGGGCAACTTTTATGAAAGCAAAGCTATGTGAACTTCACTAGAAACCTCAGATCTATTGATATAATTGTGGGAAAATTCTACTACCAATCCTTCATCGTCTTTTGTGGCCCATGATAAATATAATTCTATTTGCACTAGGACTAGTTTATCAGTTAGTAGGCAGCTGGCACTCGATAACCTGATTAGCCTCAATCGTGTAGAAGAAGACAATTTATGCAAGCTACCTTCGAAATGTTATTACTAAAGAAAAAGACTTCCGTAACTGAAGCTCATCAGGCCCGGGCAGCAAGCTTTGACGAAATTCGGGGGAGTTCAACACAACTATTATTTTACACGATTGACTAGCCACAAGCATGGAAACATCCAGCAAGTGTGTGAGCAGACATGAGGTCTTGCGATGTGCTAGTGGTGGATTTTCTGTTTGGCTGAAGGCATCATGGAACTTGAAGTATTGCAAACGGACAAAATGTCTTTCAGAAAACTGGTGTCTTATTGGCTGTTTGGAAGCAGAAGAAAGCCGTCATAATAAGTCACTCTTACCATTCACTACAACTTATCAATGAGACAAGTGAAGCCGACCCTTTTACCAATTGTGGGCTAAATAATAGTGAAATCTCTCATTCCGCCCTGGGTTAATCTTCATTATCACTATTTTTACTTGCTTCTTTAACTGTGGTATGGCGTGCCCTTTTGAGTGGCTTTCATAAGAACTTTCCACATTCCATGCTGGCTTACTCACCAACTCACCTTCCTCCACACCCTTCACACTTGTGCTGCGAATGTTGATCAGAGTCTGCCATACTGTTACGCCGTCCTCCTTCCCTAGGTCTTATCACAGTCTCCCTCTTGCCCCGTAGAATCCGTCAGCTATCGCCGTGGTTCACGTATTCCACTCGACCCTTGTCACCCCATCTGTACTACTCGAAACGTGATTACCCATCCCCTGCGTCTGGGTGACTAATTCGAGGCGAAAGCCTCTGAGTAAGTCTCATCGTCAAGCCTTTGCTGTATGGACCAAGTGTATGGTAAAACAGACCTACTGTCACGTCTGTCCTCTTTCTGTCCCTGATACCAAGTCTACCACTTCCTAGGCCCTAGTCCAGTGACTGCCAAACTGTGCACCGCGGCGACCGGGAGGCCGCTGCCTCTTTACAGCGGCGCCGCGAAATATTTTAAAAGCTTTATTTGAGAAAATGTGCACTGATTTGCAGGCTCACCCATCACATTAATTATGAAATATTAATTTAATGTTAATAAAGTAGAAAACATAATTAAGATACACACGAGTTTTATTTATTTTTATCTCTTACTTACTAATAGTCATGCTTAGGGTAGGGCACCATGATAAGACCTAGGGACGGTGGACTGCGTAACAATATAGCAGACTCTAATCAACTTTCCCAGAACAAGAGTAAAGGGGGGTGAGAAAACCAGCGTGGATTGTGGAGATTTCTCATGAAAGCCGCTCAAAAAGGCACATCATACCATATTTAGATAAGCAAGTAAAAAATTGGGATAGTGAAGGTGTGATACGAGGATATGAGATTGGTGATTAGATGAGGATGGAAGGAGAGATACCACGATTGTTTAGCAAACAATTGGTCTGAGCAGTGGTTCCCAAAATTTCATAGTCGCGGTGCCCTTTTTCAATCACAATTTTTCCATGGCGCCCTAAGTATGACTATTCGTAACTAAGAGATAAAAATAAATAAAACTCGTGTATCTTCATTATTTTTCTTACTTTGTTAACATTAAATTAATATTAAATAATTAATATGATGGATGAGCCTGCAAATCCCTGCGCATTTTCTCAAATTGGAGCTTGTTCAATATTTCGCGGATCCCCGGGTCGCCTGGCGCACAGTTTGGGAATCACTGGGTCAGAGGATTGGCTTATTTGTCGCTTTGATGAGTTGTAATGTGGTGCTAAGACTGGAAAGACTCACTGAAGATGTTGACTGCGATGCCGGCGAAACTTCTGGGAATTTACCACGTCCACTGTCCGATTCCAGAAATTAAGATGCATACAATGGACTGCGGACTAGATGCGTTCCTCTAAGTCCTCCTACCAATAGGACCAGGTTGCGAAAAAAAGGTCAAACAACTTCTATGCAATGGAAGGTGACTTCGACCACACAAAAGCAACACCATCTTGGTCTTCTACCTTTGAAAGTATTTATGTTTCACAAAACTCACTTTAGGTTCTCCACTCTATGAAGATATTGGAACAACCGAAGGTGCCGAGAGGTGTATGTAATAAACTAGTCCCCACGAAGAGGAATTTAAGAAAGAAGATGAGGTAATAGGAGCCAGTGACAAAGGGAGGGAAGGAGAAATGCCACAATTGTGAATAGAAACTCGGTCCAGAGTATTTCCTCCATTACAACTTAATGCCAAGTATTGAGCCTCTCAGTGACTACGATGCCGGCCAAACGTCTAGGCATCAGATACCAGAAACTATCATGACTACGTTGGCCGAGGACGCAGGACTCGGTACCTTCCACAAAGTCACTTTATCTCGCGATCAAGTTAAGAAAACGAGGGCTTACCAACACAATACAGGTGAAGGAGACTGTGTTCAAACGATAATTCTCCTTTCTTGTCTTCGTACTTGGTGAATTCTCGCAAAGCATGGTGTTCTGCTCTGATGCTGCCGGTCGTATGAAGGAGTCGCGGGATGGTGAGCCTTGGACTTATCCGCACAAATCTACAGTAATAGCTCCAAAACAGCCCCTCTTCGACTTCCGGTACCTTCCTTCTACTCCCCTCTCCAAACGAAATGAAAGGTACTCCAACATCAATCTATTAAGGGATTCTTAGAAAACCAGCTTATCTACGTACATTCTCGATCTTCATACCTTAAATCCTTATTGTATTTAGCACGGTCATCTCATTCAGGATTGTACAATATTCAAAGCGGTGCAATGTATAGTTAACTAGAAACTCTTTTTATGAGGGAACCCTGAAATGCCACTTCTGAAACCATCACCGCTGCTAACAAACATCTTGTATGGCTTGGCTCACACTTATGTTTAGCGTGAAGCAACGATTATGCTCAATTGTGAGTTGTTGTAACCCGATCATACAGACCAGGAGTCAACTAAGAGCATAGGAGCAAGCCAAAGTTGCTCATATTCGACACTTCTTCTACTAATAAATATCACTTTTCTTTGTTTAAACAACATAGACTCAGTGAGCTTGTTGCTGTCGCGTGGATCATACACATCCCTTGTCAACTAGACGTTGTAATAAAAGTTTCCACAAAAAGATGCCAACTCTCCCTCCCTTGCACCTATTTCCGCCATGACGACCCAGTGTTCGCAAATGACATGTACACTTTAGAGGGTCCTCGGATGACATTTTCTTCATCCAGAACGGGTCGATCTACAGCTAAGCCTTGCTATACTAACCGACAGACAGACACTTTAGATATGCCTAAAAATTTGGATATCTGCAAATCTCAGGTTCCGTATCAAAGCTTGATAGCAAATGACACAAGCTCTCCTCCGCAAGCTCTAACATCTTTCCATTCTTCCAATTTACATTTCGCCTCTTCCTAATAAACCATAAACTGATACTTTTTCTCTTGCACGCATCAATCCTGTTCCAACTTTTTTGCTATGAAACTCCGGAGGAAGATTGCTGCATGTCCTGGTGTCTACACAAAAATGTTCTGCATCACTTGCTTA